AGGAATGGAACCGCTGGGGAGAGTTGATGGTCAGAGTAGCCCGATCAGAATTTGCCTTCCATGCCACACTGCCAGGGAAGCTGCATTTATTACCCTAGATTGCTTGGCAACTAGATAGGCCAGTGACTAATGGGACTGGAATGCGTGGTGGCATCAGCTGACCGCTGTCTCAATGTGTTCTCAGTGGCTGAGGACCAGGTAGACAGGCCAGGTCACCTCTCTAGGGCCTGGAGGCTGGCTACTCCCTCAGTGTTGCCACTGGACAACTTGTGGCCTTTGGTCCCTGACTCCAGCTGGCCTCCTGACAGGAACATTGTGTTCTCAAGATAAAGTGGTACCTGCAGACTGACTCTTAGAGCCTTGCACACCTGCGAGCCTTCGCTCTTCTTTAGATGACTGCAGTCTGATGTCATAATCTATCTTACCTGCTGCCAAAGACCACCCACACCTAGTGCTGAGTAGGTGATTACTAACTGGTTGCTTCTAGGTTGTGTTTTTCATGGGCATATGGGTTAGCAATTCTCAAACTACTTTCTGGGTATTCTAGAATCGAACAAATAAGTAACCTGGATCTGGGTTTCTCATTGTTGGGAAGGAAGTTACAAATATGGAAAAGGGGAAGATTAGAATAAAATCTGTTGTGCTGGGTTGGAATTGGAGGTATCAGTATGAACTCAAAATTTTACTATAGAGGGTGATATAGAGATAGGTACAGAGGTGTTAAATGTTTTAGTCTTAGCACTGGCTACTGAGAGGACCTAGAAGCCCTGACACCCCAGTAGCAGTGAGCACACCTAACACCCAGACCCTGGGTTCTGCATACCAGATTCTAGCAAATAGAACCAGAGCTGGTGTAAGGAAGATACAAGATGAACCTGGAACATCTTGTGACAGGAAATAAGAAAGGGCTCAGCTTATGATAAGGACATGTCCCAAGAAGAGGGGAGCCAGTTCGAAGACATTCCTGAGGCCAAATCTAAAACAATTTGAGCATCAAAATAAACAATGGTAGTAACAGGGTATAACTGATGGAATAAAATAAGAGTCTGTGAGTCTACAATGATATAAATAAATAAGAAAGAAAGAAACAGGAAGGGAAAGCTTTTCTCTAGAATTGAGTGCCAGCTAATAAGTGTGGAGGGTAGAACTAAAAGATCAGCATCGCAGGCAAGGGCCATCCAGGGATCTAGTGGGTGACAGTCTGATGAGAAACAGGCTATTTATATATTGTATATGTAACATACACTACACTTCTCATGGTATCAACCCAGAAGACACCCATTAATCATACAGGAAAAAATAGTTTACAGTGGAGAAACCTGGCAGACACCATTCTGACCAATTTATTAAAGCTCAATCAGCAGTAATAGAATAGAGAGGCATCCTGTGCCTCCTGACAGGACGCACTGAGATGGGCACGTCCCTTCAGGGTATCCCGCCAAAAATGCACGGCCTGACTCTGATCGTGGAAACACACCAGTCACCCAAATGCAGATTCATGTTCTACGAAAGAAGTGGCCAGATCTCTTCATAACTGTTAAGGTCATGAAACACAAAGACAGACTGAGGATTTGTTCAGATTAAAGGAGACCAAAGAGACATAACCACCAAATGCCCTATGTGGCTGGATTGGATCCTGGACCAGAAAACAACCCCTTTCTTTAGCTACAAAGGTCATTGATGGGATAATTGGAAAAATAAAATAAGCTCTGCGGATTATACAGTAACAGTATTATACTAATGTTAATTTCCTGATTTTGATCACTGTATTGTGATTACGTAAGAGGATTCATTAGTTTTGAGGAAATAAACACTGAAGTGTTGAGGAGTAAATGTATATCGTATTTGCAATTTTCACACAGTTCACATACATATAAATACAGAGAGTGAGACTGAATGATAAAATTAATTGGTAAAATGTTACTATTGAGGGAAACTAGGTAAAATGTACGTGGAAATTCTTTGTACTACTCTTGCAACTTTTCCACAAGTTTGAAATTACTTCTAAACAAAAGTCTAAAAATAAATGTTTGCTTGATAAATGCATGAGAAATTACCTCACACTGTCTGGGGATTAGTCGTCATTCAGTGTGTGGTGGTCATTATCAGAGAAGAGGGGTCCTGTGGGGGCCATGAGTTGCTCTGAAACTAGAGGGATCAGAATGTTCTAGGCCAGGGCTTTTCAAACTTTCATGTGCATGTGAATCACCTGGAGATCTGGTTCAATGCAGGTGCAGGTCTGGGTAAGGATGGGACGCTGTGTTTCTAACCAGCTTTCAGCTGATGTCCATGCTGCCTTTCTGCTGGTCCAGGGACCACCCTGTGGGTTGCAATGGGGTAGATACAGCTGGGGTTTAGACCAGAGCTTCTAGAACCTGACTGCTCATTAGGGCCACCTGAGGAACCAGCTTTATTTGCTCTTCCCAGGCGATGCTAATGTGCAGCCAGGTTAGACTTTTATATTGCTGCCTGCCTCTGTCTCCTCCTTTCCATTATCTCAAACTCAGACCCTGAGTCTGACTACTGCCCTGGCTTTCAAGCTGGATTCTTTGCTGCTGCTTTACTCCAGCCTACACCTATAAGCCAGATAAACCTTTCTGGTCCTCCACCACGCAAATCAAGCCCTCTGCCATGTGGCTGCCTCACTCCCTGGCTGCTCTCCAGGACTCCCCCTTGATACTCTGCTCTTGGAGAGTGGCGGTCACCATCCCCACCATCCTGCAGCCCAGGTTCCACCTTCACACATTTGCACTAGTAACTAGCACGCGCATGCACATACACACACCACCTGTCTTAAGTCTCACTCATTCAGGGGTGACACTTAAGTGTTCCAGGTAAGAACCATCACTTAGTTCCTTCCTCCATGGGAGCCTCTCCCTCTCTTGAGGCCCAGCGTGGGTGCTCACTTTCCTCTAGGAGAAAGAGCCTGGCGGCTCAGACAGACTCTTCTCCCTCAGAACAGGGAGGAAATGTTTCTGCAGCTGGGACACAGGTCACCTGTTCTTGTTCACCGGCCTGCCGTGCATGGGGAAGGGCAAGGAGACAACTTGGGTGCTGCCCTAGAAATCTGGCCTGGCACCCAATTCCTCGTGCCGGTGCCCTGCCTGCTTCCCCACCCACCCTGCATCCTCCCTACCTCAGCCCAGCATGTGGCTAGGAGCTGAGGGACGGAGAGGAAATAGGTCACAGGGAGGTGCCACCTGGGTTGTCCTCTCAGGGGAGGGTCTGGCCTAGGAGAGAAGCAGCTTTTGTTAGAAGTTGAAAACCAAATTTGAGAAGAGGGACAGGTCACTTCCTTCCCTGGTTCTCCTACCTCCTTCTCTGGTTCCATCTCCACGCCAAGGCCATCATCTCGGCTCACCCCCTCTCCAGGCCTCACTTTCCTGGGAAAAGACTTCCTCCTGATTAGGCTCCGCCTGCCACCCCGTGTTCCCTTGGGCTGACAAGCTAATTCCTGTGAGGATGTTTGGCTGCCCAGGGCCTGGTTCAGTGGCTGAGCAGGTGCCTCTGTTTCCAGAATGACAGCTAGAATTCGAGGGAGGAGCAGCGACGCGGCACGGATGAAGAAGTCCACGCTCGCCTCTCCAGGCAGGCTGCTTGTCTCGCCCTCTAGCACGTCCAGGTGGAAACCTCCAGGCGAGGCACAGTGAACTCTCGTGAGGGGAAGGTGGCCCACCCACCTCCTGTCGAAAGCTCTCAGAGCTCTGTACCCTCAGTCTCCCTTTCGGTTGTGGGTTTCCAGATTCCTGGCCTGCTCAGTTCCAAAGAGAGAGGCAGATTATGAGATAGACCCTAAAAGAAATGGACACCCCATTCCCAGATCTGGAAATGTCCCCCACCATCCCACCTCTCCAGTTTCAGGCTCATTCCAAGTCCCTCCAGGAAAAAGCTGTGTCCTCCCAGCACCAGAGCCCCCCTGCTGTTGCTGCATCCTCTTCCCCCAGAACTCCCTTGGGCAGGCCCGTGCAGGTCAGCACTTGTCCCCTGACCTTGCATTCTGCCTCTGAGCCCTGGTTCCCAGGTGGCTGTCAGAACCTACTTGTCAGGCAGATACTTTCTCATCTGTTTACAAGAACCATAATTTTCCAATCCCCCAGTCAAGACATTTCACAAAAAACTTTAGGGTCACTTTTGAAGTAAAAGGGGGCAATTTAGATGCTATAATATTACAATTTGAAATCATTGGAGGAATTATGACTCAATTAGAAACAATCGCAGGAATTATGGAGGAAATAAGTCAAAATACTTGAGATTGAGGCTATTATAAAATCCAAGATACAGAGTCACTGTCTATATATTCTCCCATATCCAGGACAGGCTCTCAGCAAATACTGGAATCTTCCTTCTCTTTGACATTTACACCCTGTTTTCCTCACCCTCTCACATCCATCGCATTCATCCCCAATCAACACATTACGTGGTTTTCCATGAGTCAATCTTTATTGGCTTTGGAAGTAATGAATTATTGGCACAAGGCTCCATGGGTTTCAAAGCAAATGACAGAAGGAAATATACATTGTGCAGGTGGGAAGACCCAGCAGGGAAGAATTCCCAAGCAGCTGTGACCCTCACCAGTGACAGCTGTGAGGACCCTGCAGCCAGCAGCCAGCCCAGCCGGTTCAGACCTGAAGGTGATTCGCCATGTCTCAGGGGATCTAAGCCATCCCCCACTCCTCTCAAAGACAATCATTTCTAGCCTTCGTGGACCGTTCTTCCTGCCTTTGAATCTTTACTACCAATTGCAGCCTGGCGAGCATGAGGACCCTCTCCCCCTCTGAGACAGCCAGCCTGCTCTCCCCCACCCATGCATTTCCAAATGAGGCCTCCCCGACCAAGGGCAGACTAAGGCCCCTTCTGGGGCGGGGGGGGAGGGGGGAGGGGGGCGGCACGGGAGGAAGGAGGAGGGGGAGGAGGAAAAGAGTTGGTTTGGCTTGGCCAAGCCCAGTGATCCCCTGGGATCTGCCCTTCCCCTCCACCATGGTGGGTCTTCCACTAGTGTTTGGGGGCAAGGAAATGGGGGCTTTTTAACAGGAGAGCTGCTGCCGTCCCTCCTCCGAGGGTTCCTCCTCTATGAGCTCCAGGTCAAACTCATCTTCCAGGGACCCTCCAACAGGCAGAAGGCGGAACTTCTTCCCTTTCAGGGTGCAGGTGCGATGCTCAAAGTCCAGGACGGCGTTGTGGTCCTGGAGCACGTCGGTGCCAATGATGGCTTCCTCAGCACTGGCGTTAGCCACTAGGAACTGTGCCTTGAGCTTCATTTTGCCCAGCGACACCGCGGTATCCCAGACACCCAGGATCTTCATTTCTGCCCCATTGGCCACTTTTACCACATTCTCAAAGGGCCGAAGAGTGTCCAAGTCACCATCAGTGACCTCCTCCCACAGGCTCGGGTGGACCACGGACACCTGGGCCCCGGAGTCCACCAGGAACCTCACAGGCACTTTGCCAATTTTTCCCTTGAGGTAGTAGCCCTTACCCATGCTGTTGGCAAAGAGGATCTCCTTGGGCAGGTGGCTGTGGGCAGCTCCGGGCCCCCCAAAGGTCTTCAGCAGGATCTCTTTCACCACGCTATAGTTTCCCTGGTCCTTGGGACTGAGCCCATCATAAGCCTTCCGGGCATCTCCCCTGAGGGACTCTTTTAGGAACCTTAGCTGGGTGGCTTGGTCCCAATGGTTGAGGTCACTGATGACCTCAAAGCGGTGCAGCCAGAGGTGGGGGGCTACACTGGCTCCATCAAAAGGCTCTGGGATGAAGGCACGCTCCCGACGGCCCTCCTGGCTCCTGGCTCCGCTCCCGGCCATCCCTCTGATCTCCTCTGGAACCGTGGCAGCAGCCCACGCCAAGTAGAGAAAACCACAGAGCAGCACCGGCGCAATCACGCTGGAGAACAAGGGCTCTCTAAACAGAGTATCGTTTAGGCTCCCAGCCTGGGGCAAGCAGAAGGGATCAGGAGAGGGTTGCCTGACGGACTGCTGGGCGCAGAGGCAACTGCTGTGGCCTGTTCCCTCTGCAGAGCCTTTTTGATGCCCAGCCTGGGCCCCCAGGGCTCCCCATTCTTTGTTCTGGAAGCTCCGCCCCTGCTCGTCCTGCCCTCTTGCCAGCATCCTGCCCAACGAGCAGGATCAGTGCCTCACCCTTCTGCATGCATCCATGAGACTGGCACAGGCCAGCCCACATGGCAAGAAAGTCCAGCCTCAGTTAGAGGGGGGCTACAAGGGTACCCTCCCAGACTGTGCCCCAGAATAACACGAGAACACAGATGACGTTATGACATCCAGGTGTTTGTCATCAGCTGGAGAAGGAAGCAGGAGGCAAGGACTAGAGGCCCATCAATCTCTAGACTGGGGAAGCCCTTTGCCCTCAGCCCCAAGAGACCACTCTGAGTGGTTAAAGGAAAGGAGCTTACACATACTGCGCTCCTACTGTGTGAGGCATGGGGTGAGTGCTTTTCATACCTTCTGAACCAAGCGTGAAATCCTGTAAGGTTCCCCAGAAAGGGACATAGAGAAGGGTCCCAGAATCAAGATGTACAGAAATGGTTATTACTGGCAGCGCGCGCGCGCGCACACACACACACACACACACAACCACTTTCTGTGAACTCAATTGCTACAGTAGTTTTCCCTCATTGATTACACTTAATTCAGTGTCAGCCCTTTTCCAGGAGGCCTCAGCCCTTGTGCCCTCATTAAGTCCCTGGCGGAGGCGGGTGCAGATCTTGACCTCTGGGAGTCAGTGCTGGCAGCCGCAAGTCAAGATCCAGATCCAGCTCCAGCTCTGGGCACCCAATATGTATTATCTCCTCCTGATGGCCCCTCTCACCTTCCAGGACCCTCCCAAGAACCCATTCCTGAGGACTGCAGCCACCCCTCTACACACACATACACCTTCCTGATCATTTAGAAAAAGAGCAGGCAGGGAATTTCATCTCATTTGGTCTGAGCGGGGGAAATGTCTGCTGTGTTGGTGAAGCGAGAGGTGAGATTCTGGAAGGCTTTGGTTAAAGGAGGTTGACCTCCTGCTGGGGGATGCAGGGTCACCCTGGGCCACCCCACAGATGCCCAGAAGGTGGATCTGTGAGTCCTAGGGCTGGAGCCTGACTTGGGCCTGTGTGGGGAGATTGGGGCTTTTGGTGGGGGACCACTCTTATGACCCCACTCAAATGACACCCCCACCATGGAACCATCTTCCCTGCCCCTTGCATGTGTGCCTGCTCCCAGCTGAGTGTTTGTTGCATTGTGCTGTGTGATTTGTTCCCCAGTCTGTCTCCTGTGATGAACCAAGCTATGAAGCTCACACATGTCAGCCATGTTTGACTGCCTCCAACCTCCATAGAAACTTACTCTGGAATCAGCAGGTGCTCTTTGCTGGGCTCCAGGCCTGGCTGAAAGCTCTCACCAAACAAGAGAGATTAAGACAGGAGAGGAGCAAGAACCAGTGGCGTAACTGTGGCTCTGGACTGTTTTTCCTGGCCCATCGCCTGTTCCTCACTGGCTCCCTGTACCACTTATCACCTAGTACCTGGCCGAATCCCTGGGGACCCTGACCGAAATCCCGCCTCTGGGCAATCCCAAGGTTCCTGCCATGCCAAAAGACCCTCAGTCCCTGCTACTGTCTCAACCCTTTCCACCTGACACAGTGAGCCAGCAGAGAGGCAGCTGGGTCAACACCTCTTCTCACAGCTGCCAGGCTAAGGTGGGGCCACTGTGCCATTCCAGGAGCCCAGAAGAGGGGGAAATGAAGTCACTGGAAGGTGTCAAGAGTAGGTGTGTCTCTGAGATCACATAGTGAAAATAACCTGCACCCAGAGAAATGTCCCCACCACCCCGCAAGACCCGGAAACCCCTTCTGAAGGTGGACTTCTGTGGATGGACTCCCAGCTCCTGGGATGGATGTTGTTCTGTGGCCCAGGGACCTGACCTAGTGGCCTCCTGGCTCTCTGGTATCTGTCACCTCCCCACACACCTGGACTCCTGGAAGTGAGAATGAGGGAAGAGGCCGGCATGGGACAAAGGGACAGAAGAGGCAGGGTGGCTTGTCAGCTGGCGAATTAGGACTGCTAGATGCCCCAAACTGTGGCTCTTCAAACCACTGAGGTGGACACTGAAGTGAGGTCTCTCCTTTGCTCTGGACTGGAAGTAGGCAGTCATTGGAACTTGGGTCATGGCACTTCTCTTGACTGGATTTGGTGTTTGCTTTGGTAAAGTCATTTCCTATCCATAACTTCAGTGAATGTCATGGCCAGCCCACCCCACTCCAGGGTCTGAAGCAAAAAGAGCTTGGATGGCTGGATGGTTCCTTCAGGGCCCTAGCTGTCCAATGCATGAGGAAGGGCATTTTGTAAATAAAATCAGGGAAATGGGGGTGCTGGGCTGAGGGAGGTGTATGGCCAGGGTCTGGGGGCTTGGGCTGTTGATGGCCTCTGATGGAGTCAGTGATCTAATGAGCAGTGAGAAAGACCTAATTGTTGCACATTCAAGAACTTTGTGAGCCAGTTAGTAAACCAACTATTAGCTTTGTGGGAATTGGCAAATTCAAATCAAGATCTTTCTCCCCTCTGGAAATCCAATTTATCATCCCACCCCTGCATGGGGAATTTGTTTCCCTCTCCCTCTCCCTGTCTGCCTGCCGGCCTGCCTGCCTGTCCGTGTCTCTCTCTCTGGCAGACAGCCCCATGGCCAGTGGCTAACAAATCTATAGCAATCTCCACTCCTGCCTGACTACTTGTTCCCAGTCCCCTCCTCTAGCCTAGCTTGCCCCACACTCCCCGCCACCTTTACACATCTGGGTCCCTTGGCTTGAGGCAGGTGGCCCTCCTCAGGGAGGTCCTCCAGGTGAGCTGTTCACACAGCCCCATCTGGGATCCCTAAAACAGAAGCACATAGGGGTCTGGTGGTTTCTAGGAGAGCTGGAAGGGGTTGCGTTTAGGGATCAGTCTCTGGCAAGGATCAGGAACATGGTGAAGGAAGTTCTCTAGTTCCCTTAACCCTTGGGAGATGCCCACACGTGGAACAGCCCAAAACCACTCAGGGATCTAGGAGTTGCTATGCTATTGGTACACCGATGAGCTAAACCAGCTGGGGCAGACCAGGTGTCTCCTCCCAGAACCTTGGAAATTGTGGCTAATTATTGACAAGTATAGGTATTTGAGTGGGAACACCCTCATTATTACCCATTAGCATCTCCTGAGTGGATTGTGAAGCAAGCACACGGCACTTGACCTGAGAGGAGGAAAATCAGGACAGTAAACAGGAAGAAATGAGGGAGGCCCCACGCTTCACACCCCCTCACTGAGATTTCAGGGCTGTGAACTCTACTGGCCCAATGCAGCCCCAGCCTCCCAGCTCCTCTTTGCCACGTCTTCCCTACAGGCTGGGGCCCATTACGGCCCAAGAATCAAAGCACCTGGTGGGCAGTGAGGACACAACTGGAGACCCTGGGCCTCCTTCCCTTTACTGTTTCTGCTGGCTGACAATTTCTGGGAGCACAGGAGGTACGAGGCGCTGGAGAGGAGCCTGAGCCTTCAAGTCCAGGGGGTGGAGGGCAGGGTCCCATTATACAGGGTAAGCTGGGAGGGGACCTGGGCAGTCTCAGGAGATTGTTTTGAACCAAGAGCCCAGAGACACCTTATGGATTTGGGTGCCGGCATTGAGGGAAGGTCAGGAAAGGCGAAGACAAGCCCCAAAATGCACAGGTCAGCTGCTGCAGCTCCTCCTCTCCAGGCTCACAGCTCCCCACACTCTCAAGGTCAAGGTCATCCTGTGGCTGGATGGGGAGAGAGCAAAGAGGGATTCAAGACTTTTTAAGACAGCAAAGGACGGTTGAGGGGAGACAGGAGGTACACTTTCTTTAACCAGGATCGGCTTCATGGGCATTTGACCTTGAAGTCACTTGGGGCTCTCACTCAGAAAGGCCCAAGCTTGGTTTAATGCTCTGCTGTTGCTGACTTGAAATTCCCAAAAATTCTGACTAACGGGCCCGACACTCATTTTGTACCAGGTCCTGTAAATCGTGTAGCTGGTTTTGTCTCCAACTTGAGGGGACATGCCTTCACACAGACATACGCATACAACACAAACATATTCACACAGACACACACATTGCCACATGCCACACATATATACTGTCTACAAAAACACACTTCCCAAACACTATACACACACCATACACACAGTCACACTACAGTTCACAGTTCAAAACAGCTAAGAAATTGTATGACTCGCATATAGAATTTAGCTCCCACATTTCATTTTATATATTTATTTGCACACACATTTACATTGAGTATTAAAGTCTTATTTACTGGAGACACCTGTTATTTATTAGCCTCTGGGCACACTTGCTGGCTCAGAAGATTAGGCAGGTCCCCATCACCATAGCTTACAAGCCAATGAAAACAGGATACAGATGTTTAACTGCCTAGTTTTGAAGCATTTAAGACCAACGTGTATGCGCAGGCCGACCACTTGAAGAAGCCCCAGTCACAGCCAAGCCACTTTGAAAGTGGGTCATCCTGCCTTCTGCACCCCCCCCCCCGCCTACCGCCCCCCACAATGTCGTGGGACCAAGGGCATGATGCCCTGCCACCTCTGGGCACTCCATGCCACAAGCAAGGTCCCACGTGCCTGCACAACTGCCACCCCAGCCTGGCCCCAGGCCCCAGGCCCAGGGTGGATGTGAGTGGCAGGCAGGTGTAGGGTTGATGGCACAGCTCCTTGGAGCAAGGGCCACAGCTGCTTCCAGCATTCTACTTCAGTGGGTTATGGCATCAGGTCCTTAAGCTGAAAAGAGGAGCAAAGAGGTAAATTCTGAACAAAAATCTTAAGGATGCAGATCAGAGCCCAGTGGAGTCTGGGTGGGCTCTAACCAAAGCAAGGCATGTAGGGAAACCCAAAGCAACGGCAGGTTCCTTATTCCCCAAGCACAAACCCTCGGACAGCCAGCACTGCTGTTCAACCCAGTGCTGAGCAGAAACAACCCAGCGGTCACATCAGTCACAACAAAGGCACTTGGACAAGTCACCTCTACCTTAACTGGTCCCCCTTCTTGGTCCCCGTCACAGCCCTTACTGACACAGGCCAGTCCTGCTGGCGGGCCCTTCCCCAGTTCTCCACTGTTCCAGGAGCTCTTCCTCCCATTTGAGCCGCTCTCTACTCTCCTTTACCACCCAGTTCAGACTCCTACCCAGCCGCCCTGATCAGCCCCCCCAGCTGAAATCCTCTGTCAGCAGACAGTGAGATGTTAGGTGCCCATCACGGCACCAGAGGATCCTAGAAGTGTTTAGGGAACAGTGATCCCAGGCCTCCGTGCCATTCCAGCCCTCTAGGCCCAGAATCAGGGCCAGGGCCAGGGCCAGGGCCAGCCAAGAGTTGGTCAGAACAAGTTGCTGACTAACTCCCTAGCAGTCCCATATGCCTAAACAAGTTCTTTCCCAGTTTTTATCTTTCAGTCAAATCTGAAGATTACCTAAGGTGTTCTAAAAGCCTCCCCACTCCTCTCCTCACAGCCCAGCCCTGCAAACAGGTTCCTGCCTTCTTCCCAATTCCTGACGCCCCCACCCTAGACCAAGCCCTCATCCGTTTCTGCTCTGGTTTCTGCCACCCTCCGACAGGGCCACAGATGCCCATGGGTTCTTCCTCTGGTTCTAAGGGAAGACCCTCTACAGAGCCCCCTCTTCCTCTCCCATCCTGTGGTCCCCTCCGCTTAATTAAGGTTGGAAGTGGGACTTGTAAGATAGTCCAAACAGCTCTGGAGACATTAACCCGCTTCTGACAAACACTCCTGAAATTTATAAAATGTTCAGGCAATCAAAATATACAGACTGGGTATTCTCTAAACACAAGTGGGCTTCTAATGACACCGGAGAACTTGGCTCAGAGCTAGACACATGGAGGACTTTTGTCCAACTTAAAATACCTCAAAGGCAGCTTTGAACTGATCCTGAAATAGTTTTAATTGCCACTAATGACAACTCATATTGCGAGCAATGCAAACATATAAAATAGCCTCACACAGGGAACTGCTTCTTTTGAATCCACTGGCAACTTAGCTTTGTTCCTAACTTACAGAAATGGTAGACAAAGTGGGCACTTTTCTGTCTGGCATGTCAAAGTGGTCTCTCTCCCTTACCAACCAAGAGAAGTAGGGGGAGGCAGGAAAAGGCAGAAGGAAAAAAGAGCTACCATGCATGGAAATCTCCAGGTTATTGGTAGTAGCAGTAATACATCTTTATTGAGCACCTACTGTGTGCCAGACACCATGCTGATGGCTGTAAATTAGCAGAAGGCACTCCAAAAGTCTGCAGTATACACAGCGATGAACAATGCCAACTAAGTGGGTTGGTTCAATACCATACATATTTCTTAAGGCCAACTCTGCCTCACATTGAGTGGTGAGTCAGCCCTGAGCCCTACCCTCACAGGGCACTCAGCTGAGCGGGGGAGACACTCAGACACAGAGAAATGAGTGTGGGACGTGGGCAAGATGGTGGCCCAAGGAGCACTGGGCAACTCGTCCTACCAGAAGTCAGCCAATATTACCCAAGAAAAACAATAATGAAAAAAATGCTAAAGTGAAAACCTGCATTAGCCCTGAAACCAGGGAAAGAGGGCACCCAAAAACCACAAACTTGGATCAATTGTTGCTCACTGAGCAGACTCTCTGAGGAGGAGTTCGGGGGTGAAAGCCATGGGCCCGAGCCGCTTGTGCAGACCTATTAGACAGGAGGGCTCTGGAGGGATAAAACAGTCCAATAAAAAACTGGAAGCAGATACACCAAACCAATGACAGTATGGTAGAATCATGAATGCTCTCAATTTTCTTCTATATACATTCTGAGAATATATTCTTCAATAAGAAAAACATCATTTAAAAATAAATTTATTCCTGCAATTTTCTGTAAGCTCGAAGTTATTTCCAAATAAAAAAGTTTTAAACCTGGAGTATACGGGAAATCTGTGTATCTTCCTCTCAATTTTGCTCAGAACCTAAAGCTGATTTACAAAATAAAGTCCGTTAAAAAATTTTTTTGAATTTTTTAAAAAGGTACTTAAGGGGGGCATTAAATAACATTCACAATAGTAATAATCATTGAAGCTAAATGATAGGTATAAGAGAAATGTTCATTTGCATTTCCCACAAATTTTGGGTGTGTTTGAAAATTTTCCACAAAAAGAAGTAAAATAATAAGGAAACAAAAATTCTGTGCTGAGACCCTCACTGGCCTGGCCTGCCCAGATGTAGGCCTGCTGCCCAAGCAGTCTGCATGTCACTACTCTAGGGCACCAGAGCTGCTGGTAATCCAGGCCAGACTGTCTCAGCATTGTCTCCATGTCCCTTGCTCCATCACAGAGATTCTCAGTGAACTCACCTGCAGCAGCAGCCTGCACACCAGGCCCGAGGATCCAGGAGGGCACACAGCCCTGCTCCCCTTCAGCCCCTGCCCGCCTACCAACACCCATGGCAGCATGCTCCCTCCTGCCTGGGCTCCCACCGGCTTCTCATTGCAGGCCTCCCTGTCCTGCATTCTCTTTTTCTCCATGGGTTCCCCTCTCTCATCTGAGTTAGTATGCACCAATCTCTTACAGCTTAAAAATTAAACCTGCTGCATGGTCCAGCATCCCCCTTGGTCAGTTTTCTAGAAGGGCTGCTCTACATTTGCAGGGCCACAGCATGCAGATACCCGCTGTGGGACATGTGGGCACTGAAGTCCATTGGCCTTTCACCAAGCCCAAGGGCTGGGGTGAGGGTTTGATATGCCTGGAGAAACGGGTGTCCCTTTCTAACACGCACAAAGACACTATATCTAGATGCAGCCCTGCTTCCTCTCTGCCTGGTTTGTCATCTCCACTCACTCCCAAAGCCCCTGGTTTCTGCCACACCACCCTCCACTGCACCCTCTCCAAGGGCATCTGGGGCCTCTCAACAGCCACATCCCATGGCCCCTTCAAGAATTTGATTTTCTGAAGCATTTGCCTTACTGCTTTTCCTCCTAGGACTTTTCCGCCCCCTTGGCTCCTGTGATACAAGTTTCTAGATCTTGTGAAGAAATTAAGAATTATAAATTGATAGTTACAGGGATGTAAAGTACAGCACTGGGAATATAGTCAGTAATATTGTAATAACTACATATGGTGTCAGGTGGGTCCTGGAAATATTGGGGGGATCACTTTGTAAAGTATATGGTTGTCTAGCCACTATGTTGTATACCTGAAACTATTGAATAATACAAAATAATATTGAATATAAACTGTAATTAAAAAAAAAACAAAAACACTGCCCTGGCTGGTGTGCCAGCCTGCGAACCAAAGGGTCACCAGTCTGATTCCCAGTCTAGGGCACATGCCTGGGTCGCAGGCCAGGTCTCCAATGTGGGGTGTGTGAAAGGCAACCATATATTGATGTTTCTCTCCCTCTCTTTTTCCTTCCCTTTCCCTCTCTAAAAATGAATAAAATCTTAAAAAAAAAAAACAAAAAAGGCCACTCCCCTCAGTCTCTCATAGGTTTCCCTTCACGGCCCTTTCTCTCATTGTATACTCTCCCTGGCCTAACCTCGCTCCTCTCTCTGCTCCAGCTGTGCACTGCCACATCTACCTACAAGTGCCACTTTCAACATCGAAAGCATTGTCTGCTCCCCAGACCCACTCTGCCTCCCACGTTCTTCATCTGGGCAAAAGGCACCACCATACAGCCAGTTCCCCAGTCAGCACCACTGGGCTCACCCTGACCTCCCTCCTCTCACTGCCCCACCCAATGAGCAGTGGACAGCCACAGACTACTGGCTCCTCCTACCCAGCCTCTCTCCTCCCACCCTGACTCTGCATCCCCACTGTCCTGGTTCAGGCCTAACTATTGCAACCTCATTGCCGCTCTCCAGGCCTCCTGTCCCCTCCCCATTAATCCACTCTCCTAAGGCAGCCAGAGTCCTGAGATATGTCTATCCATGCCATTCTTCTGGTCAACATTTCTCCATGGCTACTTATTCCAAAATAAAATCCTGGCTCTCAAGATGGCACCTGAGGCCTCCTCCCTAGTTCATGGTCTACCTACGCTAAATGGTGCATATTTCTCCAAAAAGGAAACATGATGGGCTTTTTTTCACCTTTTCACAAGCCACTCACTTGGCCAGGTAAGCCGTCCCCACATCCCTGTTCTTATGGCAAAATCCAACTCTTCCCTCAGATGTTAGCTAAGGTGTCACCAACTCCAGGAAGGTTCCCTTGATTTTGCCTCTAAACTGCCATCACAGGGACTGCAATCCTCATGCCACCTGCAAGCTCCCAGAGACTAGGTCCAGACCCATTCTGAGTTGGAGCACCAGAACAATCTGGGGATGAAAGTTGTCGTCTTTCTGCCTCTTAGCTCATGTCATTTCCTCTGCTCATTCATAACCTGACATCCTCCAAGCCCACCGCATTTCACGCTTTTCCCAGGAAGTACTGCCTGCTTTTCCTCAGCAATCATTCTCTCCTGTAGGGCTCTGAATGGCAAGCTTGGCAGTACTGTCTATCTGGTAGACTAGTGGCAATTAATTTTTTTTTTACTGTGACCATAAGAAAGACATTTCTCATCATATTCCAGTACACATATGCATTATAATATACTAGCTAGATATACCTATCTATAAAGTAAGTTTTTAATATAACATATTTATATATTATATATTTAATATTAGTATATATAATTGAGCCATATATTTAATATATAAGTGTATATTTATACATAGCTAAAACAAAATATATTTACTGCATGCAAGATACCCTGATATTTTCTATTTCACTCCACTTCTTTCATTCTTTAATGCTGGTAATAACACACTAAATTAAACTCCCAGCCCACAGATTGGTCCCTACCCACCACTTGAAGCCTCTGCGGCAGCCCACAGGGATCTCTCAGGGCTTCCAGCAGGGGAGCAATGTGATAGGAGGGTGGATTCGATGGTGCTTCTCAAATGTTCTAAGGGAAAGCACCAATTTTGTAAATTTCCAATCTGTCATGTATTTTACTTTTTAAAAACACAGTAAGAAAGAATTATTAGGAAATAACACAACAACAATATATTTTAAATGCAAGCCCCAATTCGTACATTAGCTTCAGTAGACACTGTGGAGTGGTGGCAGGAACATGCTGGGAGGCGCGTACCAGATAGGGGTCAGAGGCGTGAGGTGGCCTTGCCAGCCCTTTGGATGCCTTCAAGTCCCTGCCATGTGGCCACACCTGCCCTTCCAATCTCTGTCCTGGAGTAATTCCAATGTCCACAGTCTGAGGGGATTTGCTGAGGACAAAGGGGCTGGTGTGCAGGCTCTTGTCAAGAGAGCTGGGCTGTCTGAGTTCGCATTCTGACTCAGCCACTAATTGGCTGGGTGCTGTGGATAAAGGACTTAACCTCTCCAAGCCTGGGTTTCCTCCTAGGATTGTCTCAGGAGATTAATAAAGCAAAGCCATACCTCAGGGCTTGGCCCAGGGCCAGAACCTCGTTGACACCCTACCTTCTAGCTCTTGTGGTTAGGGTACTATTGTCATCTCCTGTCTTTCAGAGTTGGCCTTGTCCTCATGGGTCTCTTCTCTTTGCCCCTCACCTATTTCAGCAGCTTGCTTCTTCTCTGCCTCTCACTCTCAGAAGATGGCTGGCATCCTACATAGCAGAGGAAATAGTACATACATGAGTGTGTTATAAATTTTTTTGACATAAAGGATGTTTAGCAATTTACAAATAATAATAAAATATACAGTACTCTTTATTGCAAGTTGCATAGGTCAAATTGAGGCTTACAAATGTTTTCATTGCTTTTTAGTGACCTGCTGAATCCATAACCAACCTATAATTGTAATTGACAAATGAGTGTAGTTCCTATGTGAATGCTGGTTGAAATTTTTGTTTGTGCCAACTAGTAAGAAAAAAGTGACACAATGAAGATATATGTTGGAACTTCACTCATTTGTCAATGATGTAAGCAACTTCTTCACAGAATGAGATCATAGTTTTTGGACACTAGACGAACTTTTGGTCAATTTTTCTGTGCCATTCACAATGTAGTGACTAAAGACACAGCAAATAATTTAAGTTGAATGTGCATTATTAACATTTTTCTCTATAACTTTCTTAAGTCTAGACAGTCAACAAACAACAAACTAAGCCCTGATTTGTGAGGTTTTCCAACTTCCATGGTGTAAATATTTCCACCATGGCCAATTTCAAACTAGTAATATGATGTCACTGAATCCAGAGTTGGGAAGAAAAGCACAGTAACACATTATATAGTATTTCCACAGACATATTAGATGAAAATAATCTTAAAAGCAGAGATAATAAAGTATTGTAAAATTCTTAGAAAGTGATGTTTTGAGGATTTACCTTTTTTTAACATAATTTATGTAATGGTAATTTTATATAATTTAATTTTTAAATAATAGCTGTGTTTAACTACTACATCATAAAACTCCTAAAAATTTAACAATCAGCTTTTAGGAGCTGGTATGATCTGAGCACACCCAGATCTGCCCTCCTGCCCCCCAGCTCTGCTTTGAATGAGGTCCTCAAAGAGCCCTCCAAACCAGATGGCCCCTTCCAAAGGACAGTTTTCAGGTCTTATAAGCAAAACTGAACTCATTTTCATGTTCTCAAACCTGATCCTCTCCAAGCTGCCATCTTGATGAATGAAAGACTTAACCTATATCCCACTCTCCCAGACCTCCATCCCATGTGCATGCCTGACCCTGGAATGCCCTTCTCCATTCAAATCCCTGTTTCACAAATTCTTAGTCCTTCTTTTGGACTCACCTCAAGTATTAGCACCCTGTGAGCACCCCAATCCCAGTCAGAATTCATTCATTTGCTCATTCATGCATTACTTCATTACTATTTGTTTAGTGCCAACTATGTGCCAGGGTCTGTGCTAGATGCTGGGGATGCAGAAATGAGCCTGGCTCTCAAGATAGCCTCACTCTAACAAGGAACAGAGTGAGTGCGATCAGTCCCCTGGTAGACAGAGCTCTGCGGAAGCTTTGAATGCGTGGTCCTGGGTACTAGAGAAGAGCAAAAGGGGGACACCCTTACTCAGGCTCCAGGGCTTGTAGCCCTTGATCTGATCTTTAATGGGTGGATAGAAGTTAACCAGGTGACATACGGGGAGAGTGGTCTAGGAAGAGAGGAGCACGGGCAAAGCCCCGAGGCATGAGGCAGTTATGGGTGATTCAGTCTGGCTAGTCCTCAAGGGTCAAGAGGAAGACAAAACCAGATCCACAGGGTTTTGATTGGCACATGGAAAAAGCCGAAAATGGTGATGCTGGCAGTGGTGAAGGCAATGGGAGCAACAGAAGTCTTCCAGCTCCAGAATTACAGGCTTTTCAGATAGCTCAATTTGAGAAACATAATGGAGAACACAGGATGAGAAGCAACAGGCTGGGATGATAGATGGGATTGGGCAGCACAGTTAAGAAATGCTATGGGCCGCCTTTGGTG